ACTCTAAGATAATTACCTGGCAGGCAAGGACAAAATGAATATAAAGACGAGAAGGAATGGGTGGGGAGGGCCTCTGCCCAGCGTGGCCTCGCTGCTCCTCACTGTCCACCCAGACGCCTGTGCACAGGGCAATATTGTTTTCAATACTTTTTACAAATAACCTAGAAGGGGGAAATACAAAAGCCCCCTTTTCAGGTGACTTCTGGCATGCTGACCAGTGCCCCACGGCTATACAGACTCACGTGTGGCTTTGATTCTGCAGCAAAGGCATCAGCAGTGGTCAGCCCCACCCAGAAACCCATGCAGGACAGACAGTCCTGACACACGTGCCCACAGGGCCCCGGTGAAGGAGGGAAAGACACGTCCTGTGTCCTCATCACTCACCCAGCAAGCTCCATTCACCACAAAATGAGCTCCTCTCCCCCATTTTCTGTAAAATGCACAGCTTACTCGGTCTTTCATTTTCCCACTTTTGTGGTCACAGGCCCGAAAAATACTAGTAACTTTCTTACTTTGTTTCCATCATTGCACAAAATGCAAAATCAGTGATAAAATAGCAGTTGGCCCTCTCTCTGCCTGGCCGGGCAGTATATAGGGAATGGTGGGGACTGCGGCACACTGGAAAGCACCTGCCTCCACCCACCTTTGCAAGGCTGATGCTCACTGTGCAGGAGTGAAAGTCCAGAATTGCCATGTCAGGATTGAAGTTCCAGAATTGCCATGTCCTATTGAGGGAAAAAAAAAAAGGAAAATGTCATTTTATGAAATCTCTAACTTTTCCATGTTTATAGCTGTTTTTTAAACACCACCAGCCAACATGTGAGCCTCCAGCTTACACAGGGTCCAATAAGAGGCACACAGATCATACCTGGCCTAGTAATTCCCACCTCCATCGGTGGATGTGGAAAAACACCTTCCCTGCCTGAGCTAATACCATGGCACCGGGGCCGTGGCGCCGCACTCAGAGGGCCTTGGGGACTCAGAGGAGCCAGGGCTACTGACTCACAGCTGCTTCCACAGATGGAAACCACAGAGACCTGAGTGCCAGCACCTGCCTGCTCTCCTTTGCACTGGGCTGTGTCCAGAGCCTGCTCTGCCCCTTTGCGCTCCCCACCCCACCCCACCCCTCTCCCCTCCATCCCTCTGCTCTGGGCCTTGAGCTCCACCTGGAACAGCAGGGTGCCCACACTCCACCCTGCTCTGCACTCAGTGAGGGGCCCACAGGTTTGTGGTTCCTTCTCCGCAGGGGGGGAGCCCTTCTCAGAACAAGGGCCTCCCAGCTGCCTTACAGGACAGGTAGGGCTTGGCCAGAGGGAGCAACGTTGTGAGGGGCGGCATGGTGCCAGGCCGCACACTTGGGAACAGTTCTTGGCTGCCTGGCAGGGAGGTTGGGGACAGCAGCCCTGGGAAAGGCCTCGGAAACCAAACCCTGACTCTGGGAGGCTCAGGCTGCTCCCCAGGGAGGAGATGTGGGTGTCCCTCCACTTGAGTCCGAGGGGGAAGGTTTAGCCCTCCTCTCCCGGGTGTCCCTGGACTAGAGCGGGAAAGCGGGGGGGGGGGGGGGGGGGGGGGGGGGGGGGGGGGGGGCCAGGGGGGCAGGTGGAACTGGGTGCCTCTTCATGGAAAGGGGCGGGGGGAGGCTTGGGATCCCAGGGCCTCCAGCTTTCCCATGTCTGCGCGAGCACCACCTGAATGCGAAGGGTCCTGTGGGGGGCACAGGACAACTGAGACAGTGTCACGTCCTCAGGCTTGCCCAGCCCCTCGGGCCTCAAACTCCACTCCTGCAGCAGAGGCGGCTGCCAGAGCTGACATTCCGCAGGGACAGAGGCCCCAGAGGGAGGGCTGGCTGGGGAGGTGGGGCCTCGCAGCCCTCCCCCTCTGTCAGAACCCTCCATGACTGCCCCCTCCCCTTCAGCGTCAACCCCCTCACCTGCCCGCACCCCTCCAGCCTGTTTCTGCCCACCCTTCTGCCCACACAGTGCCACTGTCCACTCACTGGCTCGCATCTCTCTGCCCCCCTCACCTCCGAACTGCACCCTTGTGCAAGGTGGGTGCAGACCCTTGCCTGGGCCTCAGCTCCTGTCTGCAAAGCTGGGGTCTTACCCTGCTCTTCACATCTGGAGCCTGTGATTCTTTTGGTCTTTTCTGCATCCAGGGCTGGGGCGGTGGGTAGGCTTGCCTTCTTTTCTTGCAATGCTATGGTAAAAAAAGTTTTCAGGCAGTGAGAACCTGTCTGTTAAAATCACGGGGGGGGGGGCATTTAAAAAAAAACCGCAGAGGCCTGTGCAGCAGGTGAGTTAGGAGGACCCACCAGCCCTGAACCCCCACCCAGGGTTCAGAGCCTTGATGCTGATGCCTCAGGGAGACGGACTTTCGGACTTTCGCACCCTCCAGGTGCTGTCACGCCTTGTCTTAGATGATTGTCACCGCACCCCAGGGAGGGAGCCCGGGCCGAGGCATGGGGGTCGGTCACCCCCCTTTTACCAGCTGGGCTGGGGCTAAAGTGGCTTCAGCCACGTGCAGCCGGAATCGCGTGGGCAGCTCCCACTGGCGCGACACCGGCCTCACCGTGGCCCCGGGCCCTGGACAGCGGATGCGCGCGGTGGTCCGAGCGGGTCTGTTGCGGGTCACGGCGGCGCCCCCACCCCCAACCCCCCCCCACACCCCCACCCCCAACCCCACCCCCACCCCCCCAGGGGCTGGGCCCGGCCTCGGGCTCCTCCTCCCGCGTCCGGCCGCGTGGTGGCGGCCTGTGCCCGCCAGGGGGCGCTGCGGCCCGGCCGGGCTCGGCTCCGCCGACCCAAATGCTTTTTAATTGAAAAATTTTTTAATTCAAAAGGGATTTGCTGTTTGTACTCGAGCGCAGGTTTTCCTTACGCGGGAGACTAATGTCTTCAGTAAACAGATCCGGGCCCAAATCCACCTTCAAAGGTACTCGCTGTTTGCCCACGGGGGCGAGGGGCTCCAGAAGGGCGTCTCTCCGGCAAACACGGGCCGCGATCCCGCGGAGGGGCGGCTGTGGGGGCCCCGCCGCAGCCTGAGGGGGATTAAGTCGGGGGCGTATGCTGACATTTCATTTGGGGAGAATGAACTGCAGCCCTACTGAGAGGTAGGGGTAACGCTTTTTCCAGCCAAGATAATCTAAAAAGGGAGAATCCCAGAGGCAGGGCTGGGGGGACAGCAGCCTGCACCAGGGAGCCCCGAGCCGCCCCAGGGGCCCTGGTGTCGTCAGGCTGTCTGTCGGGAAAAGGCCGTGTCCGTGAGATTTCTCCCTGCCCCCAGCCGCACCCCACCCTGCCGGAGGAGCAGGCGGGTCATCCCCCAGAGAGCGTGTGCCCACTCACGTCAGGGCGCTGCCCAGGCGGGAAGGTTCTGCACCCACCATTTGCAGCACCCCCTGCCATCAGAAGGCATCTTTCCCCTGGCTCACCCCTCAGTCTCCCACTTGCAGACCTGGCCCCAGGTCTCTGGGGGCTCCCTGCAGCCATCTGGCCCTCCACACAGCCACCTGCCTGCAACAGAGCCAGCCACTGCCCCCACCCCTGCGCCCGGCAGTGCCACTGCTGGGCCTGGCATTGGGGCGGCTCCCTCCTTTGAGAGGTGCCCCACCTCTGCTGCTGCCCCAGGTGCGACCTCAGAGTGGCCAAAATGAGGTTGCCCCAGGGCCCCACGGTCTTGGCCCCTCTCCTGACTGCCCGTTTCCATCTACATCCACTCCTGGGCCGGCCATTAGGCCGCAGAGGAGTCTCGGCTGGCCCCCAGCCAGCAGCACCATCACCTGGGGCTTGGGTGAAAATGCAGATCCTCACGGTGCCCCCAGCCTTACTGAGTGAGTCTGCATTTCGGTGGGACCCGAGGAGAGAAACCCGTATCCCTTGCCCTGGGTGCCACCCTCTCCTGCCCCTAAGGGGGGTTTGCGCTCCCCTGTCCACTGAGCACCTCTTCCTCACCTGTGCCCTCCAAGAACTGCGGTCACCAGGTGTGTTTAACAGCCATGGCTCCAGCTCCCGCAGCCCCAGGCACTGCCGCCCCCGGGGCCCATCGGCAGGGCTGGCTCTCTGCCCCCTGCCCCCAGGAGCACAGGCCCCCCTCCACCTTCCGAGCCTGTGTGATTCTCTTGAAATAGTCCCGTGCCTGTCACTGCAGCTGCCCTGCCCCGCAAGCACTTCCCTGGCTCCCCCAGAGGGTGCCTCCATGAATGTCCCCAGGGTGCCCGCATCCCTCCCCGGCCCCCAGGCCCAGCAGCACCCAGCCCTGGGAGGACGTGGCGGCGGCTGGCGAGGGGCCGCGCTGCTGTGATGTGCCCGAGCGGCCGCCAGGTGGCGGTGTTGTCCCAGACTTGGCCCCCAGCCGCCCTGAGCAGCTGCGGCATCCGGGGCCAGCCTCCCGGGAGTGCCCCGCAGTGGCCTGCGTGCCGGTCCCCGGAGAGGACTCGGAGTGCGGGTGGGGGGCCTAGATGGACTGTAGTGAGCGCGCGTGTGCCTGGTGCGGGTGGACCCGTCACCTCCGGGCTCTGCCATCCGCCCTCGGCCTGGGAGTCCAGTCACCGCGCTTTAGAGAGGCGCTCGCTGAGGTTCAGAGGGTCCCGCCTCGCCCACAGCTGGCCACGGCCATCCTGGGCCTGTCTGCGGCTCAGGAGGCCTCCAGGGCGGTGGGCAGGGGGCCGCTCCTACACCGGGCAGCCGCGTGGCCCGTGGGCTCGGGGGCGAGGGACCATTAGGTCGGTGGCTGTGGGCTTTGAGCAGAATCACCGTGAAAGTGGGTCCCCCCCAAAAGAGGCCAAAGCAGAGCCGTGGGTGAGCTCAGCAGGGGACAGTCAGGGCAGAGCCGTCGGAGGACCATCCCAGCGGGGGGGGGCGGGAGCGCTGGGCACCCACCCCCTGCACGGGCAGAGGTGCCGTCCGCCTGTGGACACTCCGCGAGGCGCCGTCGGGGCGGGCCCGGGGCCGGGGAGGGGTCCTCGCAGGCGTCCCTCTGACCGTGCCTTTGTCCCCCCGCAGTACGAGTACAGCTTCCGGACAGAGCAGAGCGCCGCCGCCAGGCTCCCGCCCAGCCCCACCCGGTGCCAGCAGATCCCCCAGTCCTGAGGGGCCCGCGCCAGCCTCGGGGAGAAGACGCATCTGCCCTGACTACTGAGCGCCCCGCGCCCTCCACACCGCCTGCCAGGGCCGTCCGGGGGGCGCTGAGCTGTCACATCCCGGCCATCACCTGCCTGACGTGACGCCCCCGCCCCCCGGGGGCCATTGTTCCTAATCGTGACTAATCTGCGTGCTGCAGCGCCAGCACCCCTAACCTGTCTGTGTGCTGACCAGTTGTCCCCGCGGGGGCCGCCTCCTGACGCCGCTGGCCCCCTTGCTCCTGACTGTCACCCGCCCCTCAGGCGTGACCTTCCTTCTGGAAGGCTCCAGGGCGGTGGAGGAGCCGGTCCCTTGCTGACCGCGTCGCCGAGGGGCCCTCGTGCGCTCCCCCCCACTGTGAACGCCTCGGGACTTGTCCCGCAAACACTGGACCAGCTGAGGTGGGGAGCGGCCCTTGGTGGGCCCCGCCTCCCGGCCGAGAAGGTTGGGGCTCCTTCTCCCACAAAGGGCTCGGCCCGTTGTCCACGTGCCAACAGCAGCTGCACCTGCCGCGGCCCGGAGACCACAGACCTCGGGGCAGGGGGCCTGGACGTGCGGCCACGGCTTCAGCTGGGCCGTGTCTGGGGCCTCTGCCTGTGGGGACGGTTGTTTCAGAAGCGCCCCCGACCCCGGGAATCGGCCACAGCCGCGGTGTCAGCCCCCAGGGGCCGTGAGCCGGCCCTCCTCGCCCGCCACTGTCACCTCGGCTCCAGCGCACCTGCCGCCAGGACCGAGGGCGCCGTCCCTGCGGCGGCGTGTCCTCGTGCCCGAGGCCTTGGTTGGCGCTGGGAGCGCGAGGGTTGGATGTGTGTCTGGGGGGGGGGAGCGGCACCCCTGCCAGGAAGGCTGGGCCTGAAGGCCCCCCCACACCCTCTGGCATGGGCCAGCCCGGGCTGCCTGCGGGGGGCGCTGTTCACCGCTGTGGGGCGGCGGGAAATACCTCACGCCCCGCATCCGTCTGCAGGGCCCGACCCCGCCCTCCCCGCGCGGCTCCTGGCGGGGTAACACTCACCCCTTCCCCTTCCCGGGGCTGCGCCTGCCAGGGTGCCTTCTCGCCTGCCCGAGCCATCGCCGTGGGGACGGGCGGCTCCTGCCCTGTGAGGGCCTCTGCGGGCTTGGGGCTCCCCCCACCCGGGACTGGGGCTTCCCCAGGTGAGCGGGCCCCACGCCCCCCCTGAGCAGGCTGGAGCCCCGGGACCCGTGTCTGCTGCTGCTCATGGCTGGTCCAAAACCAAGCGACTCGGAGCCCACAGAGGTGCTGTCCAGCAGAGCTGGGGTCCCGCCGCGCCCCCTTGGGCGTCCTGCTGTGCCTCTGGGGCCGGGCGCAAGAAGGCAGAGCCCAGGGAGGGGGTGTGGAGGGGGCCGGGCAGCCTGAGAGCAGGCAGGCCCCACACTGCGGGCTCCACAGCGCGGCTCGGGGAGAGGTGGGTGCCGCGGTAGATGCAGGCCCTGCACCCCCCAACCCCCCCCACCCCCGCCAGGGTGCGGGTGAGCAGGCGCACCTGTGTGGGAAGACCTTCCGCGTCTCCCCTTTCCGGGACGGTGCTTTTCCTCACAAGTCCTCTCTCTGGCCCTGTGGGCGGGAAGGACAGGCGCGCCTGGAAGTGAGCCGGCAGCGGCCCTGCCCCTCCGCCCCTCCTCAAGGCTGTCGGGGCTCCGTGCCCCGTCCGCTGCCTCTCGTCTCCTCCGGAAACTCGGCCTCCCGGGCCTCGGGGATGGCACAACGGCGAGGCGGCGGCGGCGCTCCAGCGGCACTAACGTACAGCAAGGCCTTTTCTCCCACCCGCGTCCGGGCGCCCGTAGCGGCCACTCGCCTCCAGGGAAGAGCTGGGGGTGGAGGGTGAGGAGCAGGTGAGACCCCAGCTTCCCGAGCGCCCAGTCAGAGGAGGGTTCCCCACCCACCGGCCGGCAGGAGGCACGTGGCAGTCAGAGGTGCTGATGCCGGTCACCCCGCTTTTCCACCTGCCGAGGGCTCCCGCGTGGCCGGGGCCATGCACACTGGGCACCGGCCACCCGCCAGGCACTAGGCTGGCACTGTAAGCACATCTCCTGTCGCCATCCCCCCCGCCCCCCGAACCACGCCAGCACCCAGCGTGGATGGTGACTTGCCCCTTTCCAGGGGAAGTGGCTGAGGCCTGTCCACGGGCACAGGCTGGTCCGTGGCAGGGGCCAGCCTGGGCCGAGCCACCCCCTCACAAGCACACGCCTCCCATGGACCTCCTGTTTCCAGGCCCTTCACAGACTCGCCAGCGGCCACCTATCCTGCCGGTGCTGGGGACACGGCCGCGCCGCCAGGCACCCCACCCCGGTTCTGGGGCCGCGGGCCGCCCTCCCATTTGCCAGCTGCAGGGGAGCCTGGGAGTGAGGGCAGGACGGGCCTAGTCCACAGCCGCGTGCCTGCCGTGCGCAAAGCCGAGCTCCGCCGGCCTGGCCGCTGTCCCCGTGCCAAGGCCTCGGCTGTGGCCGCGAGGGCTCGGGCAGCCCCGCGCACCCCCCTCAGAACAGCGTCCTGACCGCCTGTATTTATTTGAGGTGACTCTTGTTCTCGGCAGAGGGAGTTTCACTGTGTAACTGTCTTCTTAATATAATTTGTTAAAATAAATGTTCGTTTTAACCTCTTTCCCCGGTTTGCCGCCGTCTGTGAAGACGCCAGAGGCCGGTGTCCCTCAGGGCCGGCGTGGCGGGCGGCCCCGGGCCCCGGCACCCGACCTGCCGCCTTCCAGAAAGAGCCGGTGGGCGGCTGCGCGGCCTTTGCTTCAGACGCCCGGGTTCCCGGCCAGAAGACTTCAGGAGGGGGCCGTGGCCGGGTGTGCTCTGGCAGCGGGCTCAGGAATGCTCCTTGAAGCAGAAACTCCGCAGGCGCATGTGGGACGTGCGTTTCAGGGGGGCGCCGGCCAGGAATGCAGAGGTGCGCTTTCATCTCCGCTGGCCCCGAGCGGGAGCGTCTGGCGGCCCCAGCCCCAGGGTCTGTCCCGTCCCGGGCGGCTCACCTGCTGCACGCGGCGGCTCCAAGGCCTGGCAGGGGCCCCGGGCCACGCTCCGGGCGCCTCGAGCGCGCCCATCCGTTCAGGTTTCACTCCCAAAAGCTCCTCGTCTCCTTCATGAGTGACCTTTGCATTTTTGGGCAGGACGACTCGGGTCCCAGCTCCACCGCCTCCAGCCCTGCTCCCACCTGATGGGTCAGGGGGCAGCCCTCGCCTCATCGGGACCCAGCGTCCCCCGCGCAGCCCCGTGCCCATGCCAGACCCCCACCCCCGCCCAGCATCTCTCAGTTCTTCTTCCCACAGTAGACAGTTGAAGAGCGGCTCAGGGAAGGGATTCCACAAGGACCCCCCAAAAGACACAGCGCAGAATCGAAAGAGCTGGATCCGAACCCAGCTCTGGCACCTCTCAGCTGTGGCTGCAGCTTGTCCCCCAACACCTGTCAGAACAGGAGACCCCAGGGTGGCTCACCCTGGGAGGAGGTGAGGGGCCCCCGGGACTCCTCTGCCCCGGCAGCTCTGCCCCAGGCGCATGTGGCCAGGGTCTCGGAGGCAAGTCTGGGTCCAGAGGTGGCCAGAAGATGGGCAGAGGGTGCGGAGACCCTGCCGGGGGACAGAAAAGCAGCCTGTAAGACGGGAGGGGACAGCGCGGCAGGCGGCACATCGTTCGTTCACCATCTGCCTGGCCACGTCAGTGTGTGCGGGCCTGAGCGGGCGCCGGGGGCTCAGCAGCGACCACAGCGCCGTGTCTCTGCCCTCGTGGAATTCCATCCCACACGTCCCCTGCCCCCCACGTCTCCCCTTTCTCTCTCCCCCCCCTACCCGCCACCGCCGCTCTGCCTGGTTTTCTCCAGCCCAACTGGATTCCAGCCACGTGGTCCCAGCAGCCGCTGGCGTCTCCACCTGGATGCCCCATGAGCCCAGCACATCCCCAGCTGAAGGAACCATCTTCCCTGAGCCCCAAACTTCCCCTCCCCGGCTTCCTCATGCCCCACCTGAGTCCCACAGGCCTGCTGAGACCACCTGCCATTGCTCTGGACCATCCCCCACCTAAGTGCACTCCAGGCGCAGTCATTATCTGCTCCCTTTGCTACTCCTGCTTTAGTTCTGCCCCCAACACTTTTCACCTGGATGGCAGCATCAGCCCTTCCATCCCCCCTGCCGCCAGTGTCTTCCCCGCTCTCCTGTCTTCCTCACTGCGGCGTCTACCCTCTCACAGTGCTGCTCTCCCCCGCCCTAAGGATGAATCCTGAGTCCCTCAGCATTCAATGCTCCCTAGGTCTGGGCTCTGCCTCCCATCCCAAACTCAGCTCCCACTAATCTCCTGGCTGAAGTATTTGTAGTTCTTCAAACTGTAAACTCTGTGCTCCATTGCTTGGCATTGCTAGTCCTGCCTCCAATATATTTTTCCTTCATTTTTTTTCTGCCTGGTAAACTCCTATTCATCCTTCAAGACCCTCTCTATGATGCCCTTCTTGACCCTTGGAAGCAGAAGTCAAGTTTCTTCTCTTCAGGCCACTCCACCCCTTGTAATGAGAGTTCCGGCTATGCCATCACCTTCCCTACATGGCTCTAGGTGGTTCATTTTCACCATTTCACACAAAAACAGTAGTGGGCTGACCCCTGAGCTCTCTCCCCCTCTATGCCCTGAGCCAGGTGAGTGCATCAAGAGACACGGATTTTGGGAAAGGTGGTACTGGAGCCCCCAAAGAGTCTGGGGTGCTTCCCAGAGGGTCTGGATGTCCTGACGGAGGGGCCGGCATATCCATCCCCCCTACACACCCTTCTTTGCATAGGGCACAGTAGAAACACCAGAGAGTCCTTAAAACTTCCCTCCCACACCCAGCTGCCATCAGACTCTCTGGAGGAGGCACCAGGAGCCGCTCAGGCATCAACGCCCTGTCAACGTGCAGCTAAGCCCTGGGTTTGCACCACTGCCCGGGTACACGTCACCAGCCAATCAAGTGGGCGCCCCAAGAACGAGGACCTCTGGGGAACACACCAGAAGAGCTCATCCACCAAAAGGCGCACAAGAAGCTGACCAGCCAGCACCCGAAAAAGCAGAGCTGACAGGCCAGACAGCTGGGAGTAACAGACACTCAGCGTGGCCTCCAGAGGCGCGGGAGGGCCGGGAAGCGCAGAGCAGGTTGGATTGAACGCGAGTCCATGGCTGGGAAATCCTGCCGGGCCTGAAGAGGACGCGGGTGCATCGGCAGTTGCCCTCGGGGATTTTAATACATCTCTCCCGGGAGCCCAGTCGGTGGGCGGCTTGAGTAACCTGACTCATCGCGCAGAACTTCCAGCCTGACGCAGCTGCTCCCCGGCCCTTTCGAAGCTGGCGGTGCGGAGCCGCTCAACGAGCCTCGGGCCAGCCCGCGGGCCCGCAGCCCCTCCAGGGTCTCCGCATCGCGGCTCCAGTCATCTCTGGCCACACCGCGTCACCACTGGCAGAGCACATGGGGGAACAGAGATTTCCTTTTTTTTTTTTTTAAGTAATATTTGGCAAGAACGGAGGTACCACTGAGACCCATCAGGTGGGAAACATTGAAATGTCGGTTCCAAAGTCGGGGAGGCTGGGGGCGGGCAGAACAAGAGCCAGAAGCCGCAATGGAGGCGCCCTGGGGCCGGCCGGGGTGCGGGCCCCAGGAGGGAGGCGCCAGGGTGCCCGGCAGGCCAGAGGCAGGAGCACGTGTCCCCAGGGATTTGGAGGCCATTGGCCCTCAACAGGCCCCACGTGGAGGGCATGGACGACCTGTGGGCTTCTTGCCTTGGTCTGTCTCTCGAGAGCTGGACGGCTCCATCCAGCACACGGCCCGACAGTGCCACATCTTGTTTTCACCCTGTGCAACACTCACGGGGGACGCGCGGCAGCCACAAGCGCACCGGTGAGCTCTTCACAAGCTGGACGCACCTGCCCTCCCGCCCAGGCCAAGAAACAGACCTCACCTGCCCCGGGGGCGCCGCTCAGCGCCCACCCAGCCCCTCCCTGCCAAAGGCAGCACCGTCCTGACTTCCAACACCACAGGGCAGGTCGGGTCCTGACCCGGCCGCGGTGGAACCCGGCGGAACCAGGCCGCTGTGATCTGTTCTTCCCGGACCCCACGCTCAGCAGCTCCTGGGCCCACCCCGCTGTGCAGCGCCGCTGCAGGTGTCTGCTCGCGGCTGTGTGGGTAAGGCCCTGGTGGGAACGCCCACGGCGCCCCGTCCATGCTACTGCCTGTGGACTTGGTGCTGCTCCAGCCGGGCTGCCGCATCGGGTGTCCCCGTTTTTGCTGGATGCCGGTTCAAGCAGCAGAACTGTCAGGAGCAGACTGGCTGCTCCCGGAAGGCCTGTCTTCAGTACTAGCCCACATGTCCAGGCCGTCCTCGCCAATGGCCCTGGCAATTTACCCACAGCAGCTGCGTGAGAAGGTTCCAGCAGCTCCTGTCTCTAACCCAACCTGATATTCGCGAGACGCTAAAATTAGCCCT